TTTTGATCGAGCAAACATTTTTTTTCGACATTAATTAAAAAAAAACTAATATTAATCTAGAATTGCATATGTCTATAAATAACTCAACACGAGTCAAAATATTTTATGGTGTATAGAAAATACTCATAGGTATAAACATTCAGTGAAAATTGCATGTAGGACTAAATTTGCTTTTGTCAACAACCTATTTTGCATAAAAGTTCCCATTTTTCCTTAATTTTTTTTTTTGTTAATAATATCAATAATTATGTTTAATATCAGATATTAAGCAAACATTAGATTTGTTGTTTGTTATTAAAAATTAATTGTTTTTTGTATATAGCTTGAAATAATGAAATCTGATTACACATCTTGAATTGCATTATTGTTTTTTATTGTTTCTAGATTTATGAGAGAGCTAGACAGTTTAAAACAATCTGCCGACTACAGCAGTAAAGACTCGACCGGTTTGCACTCGTTCCTAAAGTCGATTGACCATACGTTCGACTACGGAGTGTACACGTATCCCATGTTGAATGCAGGAATAAATATGAACACAATCAGGTTGGACAGTTTCCAATTATTTAATATTATTCCATAACTATGCACAGTACTATTCAAGCAATCTTCACGAAATTTTTTTTTTATATACATCTAATAAGCATTAAAATATTATTATTCAGGAATTTAACTGCAGATCAACTCTTAAACGATTGCAAAATCACAAATACCATACATCATCCTGTTATATTAAATGCAATTAAAGGTAAATGTTTCTATTAATACAAAATACTTTTACTTGTCAATCAGTCTAAATTACTTGGTGAATCATATACAGAAATGAAATTGAGAAAATCGTCGTCGGACAAAAAAATCACGGATGTGTTTATCAGTTACAGACGATCGAATGGATCTGAATTGGCTAGGTAAGGGGATCGTATTTTACATATCGATACATTGAAACTGCAAGTGTATACCAATATATTAATATAATAATATATTAATTATAGGCAACGATAACGTTTAGTGAAACAGTATTAGAAATTATAATTAGTTATAATAAGAAATAATAATAAATGTACTTATAATAATTATGTGATACTAGATGACCCCGTGCACTTTGTTGCCCCTTAAAAATGACGACTCTTTATGATTAAATATGTGTTCAATTATTTATTTAATATTCGGTGTAATCGTCTTCAAAACTTAAAAATGTCCAAGGATCATCTTGAATTAAGGGCCACTTATCGAGATAAAATATAACCTATAGATCCTTAGGATACCTTTGTGGTGGTAAAAAAAAATTTCAATCGGTTAAGTAGGTCCAGAGATTACCCAGAACAAACAAACAATTTTTTGTTTTATAATATTAGTATAGATAATAACAACAACTGGCATTATATATGTTTGCAGTTTGATCAAAGTGTACCTAGAAATTCGAGGGTATCAAGTGTTTATCGACGTGGTAAAATTAGAAAACGGACATTTCGGCAATAACCTAGTAAACCATTTAAAACAGGCGAAAAACTTCGTGCTTGTGTTAACCCAAAGTTCGTTGGACCGGTGTGTCAGCGACAACGAATGCAACGACTGGGTTCACAAGGTAATGGAACACCTCGTGGCGTAGCACAGCGGCAGCATATAATTATACTAAAACGACGCATCTATAGGTATAACTCTATTGTACGTATGCTAATTGTATTCGGTTCGTAGGAAATCGTGACAGCGATGCAAAACCAGCTGAACATAATTCCCATCGTAGTGGACGATTTCACTTGGCCAGAAATGCTTCCAGAGGACTTGCGCAACTTGCAGACGTACGACGTGGTAGAGTGGTCGCATGACACTCAGGATATGTGCATTGATGCCATCGTGACGGCTATGCATGGTGCCTCTAGTGCCATCCAGGAAGGGACCAGCGATGGTCTTTCGTCAGACCTGTCTACCGAGGTGGTGGACCCATCCCTCGTTGTCGAGTAGCTCCACGGTCCCGAACATCGTGGACCTACCATTGGCGGATGCCCGCCTACCACCATACAGTGACTGTCTCTGCCAAATGAATAGAAATGTCAAGCGGTTGGAAATATTAAATACAATGTACACTAATAAAAACATAGTAGCATTATCATTAATACAAAGTGCACACATTATAAGAATTTTTATTCCGTTTTATTTGTAAAAAAAAAATTATCAAATATATTTGTATTTTTAGATTCTGAGCGTGGGTAGCGATGAATGTAATATAATATATTGGTTTTACAATAATATGTGTTTATTACAAATGATACTATTCGTGGGTACAACTCGACTACCGGGATTCAAATAAAAAAATGGGAAATAGGTATCCTATTGGCTATTGAAATATTATAAAATAGTAACTTAACCAACTAATAATATATCACTATATTATAAAATAACTAATGTAAAAATCTGAAGAAAATTTCCAATACAAAACCCGAAAAACCCTAAAAATAATCGTGCATTTGCTGTGTTCTCTTAAAACTCAAATGTTTAACTTTATTTAATTGACCTTAGAATTATTTAAGTAGTATCTGCTATGTGCTTATAGATCATATTAATTAACATTAATCGTTTTATTATTTCGTATTTTATTATTTTATCATGTAGTTAAGCGTCTTACCTACCAACTTATATAGGTATTGCCTAATCATTTATTTCAAATTTTTAAAATTATTGTACTACGACAATTAACAGTTGTAGATAATATAGTAGTACTTATAATTTAAGGTATTTTGCATGGTATCACAATTTTTGTACACCTACTTACCTAATTACTGGCGGGTAGTACCGGCTTGCCGCTTGCCTAACGATAAATATTTATCTTAGGTCTATCGTGTCAAAAGAACAAAAGGAAAAAACTTACGTAAATATTTATTCTTCCGGTGACACCATTGAGCTGTGTACTAAGTATAGGTACCGTTCAGTGGGCGCAACACGTACTCTACGAGCATCAACGAGCCTATAATAATATTATAATATTGTCTAGTATCAGAGCAAAGCATCTTGCATCTCCTTAAAGGGAATGTATTGAGTAATCTGGAAGTATTGAGATTAATGTAATTACTCTTTTGTGTAAATAAGTATAGCTTAATGACCAGAATGAAACGAAATATTAGGTAGGTACTTACATGTATAATGGAATCGTTGTTAACCTCACAGACGATTGCCATTTGCTATAGATTATTAATTATAACTAGGTATAACTTAACCGATGCATATTTTCACATTTTCTTTAAAAACTATAAGCGTTTATTTTGGTTCTACTTCAAGCAAATGCGAAGACCACTACCTGGTTCACTGTTTTTAGTATAATAACTGTGTGTAAGTGCCCTAACGTGTGTAATCTTTAAATTGCACTCATACCAACAATAAAAAAAAAATACTTACTACTTTTTGACAAGTCACGTAGTAATGTAGAATGAAGTGACAAATTATACTCTCGTAGATTAGATTAAGTATAGACCAAAGGCTATTTTACGTATTTTTGTTTCCAACGTTTTTAATTGTTTATTTGTGAGTTTTCAATTATGGCAGATACAATAATCATGCAACTGTAAATAGTGTAAACTATAGTCTTCCTTGGATTAAATACGAAAATATATTTAAAATAGTAAAATTAAAAGAACATTTCGAATCATATCAAAAATATTTGGTACGTTGTAAATACATTTTTAACCGCAGACACAAGGACATGTTTCAATTTGTTAAAACATTTAAAGTAAGTACCTGCTTATTCGAACAATTAATATTTTGTATTTTTGTCTTACGATTCTTATAATTATAATAATAGTTTGAGCAATGAGCAGATTAGTTTTAAAAGTATTGTAGTTGGACTATAGAGAGGTCAAATATAAAATAAATAATTTGTAATAATGATTACCTAATAAAAATAATACAAAATAATTCCCTTCGTAGTGGATGGTACGTGAACAAGGCTGCATGGAAATTATGATCGTGCGGATTTTGGCAATAGTCGTGCAAATTCATGCGAAATGCGTGCTAAATGATGGACTAGTTTAGAAATTTAAAAATTTTCACGGTGCTGTCGAAACGCTCAAATTGAAGTGGCGATCTTGCTGATTTTGTCGATAGTCGTGCAAGTTCATGCTAAATGAATTCTATGTAAAAATATAAAAATTCCTTTTTTGTGGTTACCAGCACCATTCGTTGATTTTTGCGATTCCGGAGACACTGATGTCGTGCAAATTTCAAAATTAATCATGCAAATTCATGCTAATTGCGTGCTAATTATTGATGAAATAAAATATTAAAATGTTTTAATTGGCAGTGCTGGAGCAACGTAAGTAGGTATAATATTATCTAAGTTTGTCGATAGGCGCGTGGCGATCGCTGTAGTAGTGCAATGGTGGGATTTGTCCAAGGTTTATATAGGTACTATAGTACTATACTACTATTATCACGAATTAAAATATACAGTAAAATATTAAGTATTATTATTTCGTATTCGTGACTATTATCTATAAATCTTTGTATTTGGCAGAAAGTGTAACGATGTGAAAACTATAAATTGTGTATTTTTGTCCACTAGAGTAGTATTATTTTGTGTTGGACTTTATCTATTGCTACTGCCAGTGCGGTGTGTTAGTCACTGATTTCTTTTCCACTCTGTATAATTCGATTGAGTTATTAATATTAATTCGTGGTTGTCACTCGCCAGCTTTTGAATCTATTTTATAACAATTAACCCGATACCCATATTTTTTCCGTTTCATACAAGTGTACAACTCCTATTTTCACTTGATGATATCGCTTATAAGTGACACTGCCGCCGTATATCATCATCATCTATAATCTATAAGTATTAAGTAGTTAGCAGTTTTGCTTGTACTTTTCAGTTTAAATATTTAACTAAAAAAAAATCGAAAAAGTCGATCTGCTATATTTATATGGTAGATGTCTTTTTTTTATATTTTAGAAACCACACAACAATTCATTCATCTTCAATTGACAGTGGTGTGTAGTATTGAACGAACCACGAGATGGTCAACAGTGATTATCATCTGATATTCGGCAATCCAGATCCGATGAGACAGAACACAAACTCGTTCGAAGCAGAAAATGCCCAACACAATTTATTTATTCTGGTAAAACTGGTAATCAAAGTAAACGAATTGATAAGCAGACAACATACAGACAAAAAGTCTTCAATGGTACTTCAAAAACTATTTGAAATCATTTTCAATGCATGGGAAGAGCAGACCTACAAACTCAGCAATGCCTTGTGGAACACTTTCAGACACTGTGGTGGAATGGATTCATTAATTTATAATTGTGCGTCAGAATATGAAATTGAACATTTTTCAAATACTAGATTTCTGGGAAAATACCTGACAGAAACTAGCGACTGCGTATTGAAAAATGTAGAAGAAAAAGTGTTGAGCATGGAATGTAAATACAAAACCCAAGTTAGATCGGTCGATGGATTTAAGTTTAATTTCGGTAAGATTTATTATAATTTAAACAGTCATAAATACTCATATTTTTTTAAATTGGAATTATTGCATATTCAATGCTCAATGATAAACAAAATTATTGTAATATTTATTTTTCAGGAATATTTGAAAGTTTATTCAAACACTTCGAAATCACTTTCATTGATCCAAACGAAATAAATGGTTTGGGCGTACTTCTCGACGAGTGGCGACGACAAGATTTCGTGACTCTTAAGCAATCCCTCAATGTACTTTTCAACTTATGGAGGGATTATGAATGCCCAAAAAACCAAAATATTATGATAAAGCATAACGTACACTCACGGTTTTTCACGTTGATTTTTAAGACTGAAGACAATGTCAAGTATTACATTGCCATTTTGATCACCGATAATGAAGTCGGGACAGCAATAATTAAATCTAAAATACCGATGGTGATACCCAAGACTAATTTAGTAAATGTGTGTGGCCCAAGCCAAATGTGCTTAGAAAAACGTACTCCTGTTTTGAATTCTGATAGCGAGGAAGCGTCAAATGCGTCCAAAGTCAGAATCAACAAACAGCTTAGTAAGAAAAGTATGTTCAGAGCGATAAACGTTATTAAACCACTGAAGAATGTACCAATTTGCTCTAATGAGACGGCATCCAGGTTAGCAGATCAATCGTGTCAGTTGATCGCCGAAGAAGTTCCGTACAGGCTGAACATACGTGTTCACCAGTGGTCGGAGGAGGACGTCCGTAAATGGTTCAAAAAGAATGGGTTTAGCGAGTTTGCCAGTAATTTATTGAAAAATCGAGTTGATGGTGATCTATTATTGCGATTGACCGAAGATGAATTGAAAAACGAAATCGGAATACACAATGGAATATTGAAAAATAGGTTTGTATAAGTATATTATAAGAAATAGTATTATAAGTATATTATACTTATACAAACCTATTTTTCAATATTACATATGATATTATGTATTTTGATCAACGAGAGAGTTAGCCGATTAAGATACTTTAAATAAATGCAGTGTATAACACATGCGATACGTCTGTATGAGAAAGATTGAGGGAAAACGAAATGATAATTTTGCAGAGTGTGGATGAGAGTCGACGACTGATGTACAACGCCCCGTTTTCTCTTGGAACAGAGTATAGTCCGACCATAGATAATAAAGACACGAATAGGTCAAAACATATTCATTATGTGTTAGTTTTGCGGTCCAACATAGATAAGCATTGAGGCCGTTTGCTTACATTTTTGCGCATTTTTGTATAGTATGATTATATCTATATAGATTATCAAATAACCGTTTTAGCCTTTAGGTATACTTTTTTGGCCTCAATTTATATAATAAATTTCATTCTTCACTGGTAAGAGACCTTATGTCCTAAATTTTCTTTCAGTTACGGCCTTGATTCACAGTTAAACATATAGGTACTACAAAGCTCATAGTCATTAATTATGAATAATGTTAAAAACTAAAAAGTTATAATTTTACATACTTTGTTATAAAGTAAAGATAAAGTAGTTGATGGTAGTGAATTGGAATTTTTTTTTGTTCTCTCAAGTTACACTGCTATTAAGTTTAATTGTAAAATAATAACTTTTTTCAAGACTGAATACCTATTTTAGATTTATCTACTATTTTTGTACTTCTTATGGAGGACGTCAAATTCATAATTTAAAAGCCTAATATGTTTGTAGGAAACCAACAATAAAATTAAGAAAAGAAACATATTCTATAATATACTGATTTCCTAAAAACATATAATTATTTTTATATTTTCTAGATTTATAAGGGAACTAAACAATTTAAAACAATCAGCCGATTACAGTAGTATCGACACAACCGATTTAAACTCGTTTCTAAAATCAATCAGTTCGGAGTATTCTGTGTACACGTATCCCATGTTGAACGCTGGGGTCAAACGGGATTCAATGAGGTATAATAAATTCTATATTTATACATTTTAGCTTACAACATAATATAGCAAAATAATCATTAATCGTACATTTTTGTTTTAGTAAATCATTAATAATATATATTAACACTTACCATCAAATAAATTCTAACAGTTAATATGTTTTGAAATAATAAGTTGACATTAATTTAGACTTTTAACTGATGACCAACTCAAAAATGATTGTGGAATTTCAAACGGTGTTCATCGAAATTGTATATTAGCCTCGATCAAAGGTAAATACTTTATTATTAATACTTTAATATTTTAAAGAATTATATTATTATTACTAGCTGATCCCGTGAACTTCATTTCCCGGCAACAAATAACTATTATATTAGCTTCAAAACCCATGGCAACCATTTATAAACAAAAATTTACATCGAAAATCTCAAAATAATATAAAAATGGTTGCCATGGTAATATGGACACACAGACATTAATTTATATATATATATATATTTAGAAGATTATTGTTACGCATTAATTAATAATAAAGTTTATTAATTAAATTTAAAAACAATAAAAAAAAATTGTTATAGAAATGCCGGTGTACGTGGAAAACACGGACAAACCTTATGACGTGTTTATCAGTTACAAAAGATCTACTGATTCTCTGCTGGCTAGGTATAAAGATCGTATTTGACAGATCCTATGTAAAATTAAAATATATTTCTTAAAAAATTGTTAAAATAATAACACTGACCACGTGTATTACAGTTTGCTTAAAGTATACTTGAAAATTCAAGGTTACAATGTGTTCCTCGACGTGAAACGATCGGATGATGCCAAATCTCGACATCGTGTATTGCAGACCATAAGACAGACGATGAATTTTATTATTGTGTTGACGCCAGGTGCGTTAGACAAGAATTTGATGGATTCGTCAGCCGGTGATATCGAAACTTTAGATTTTATTTGTGAGGTAAAGGATCGCCCTGAGTCGTATAGGATCATCATGTGATTATAATATGGTACAGGATATTAAGACTTGTTTACTACTCTATAGGAAGTCACGACCGCGGAACAAGCCCAATGCAATATAATACCAGTATTGGACAACAGTTTTACTTGGCCTCCACTGCACTGCTACCAGACGACTTGAAAACTTATGCATTACACTCAATAAGGTGGGTGCACGATATCGGAAGCGTGCGTGAAAAAGTTGGTGACGTTTGTGAACCAAATTTAGAGCAAATGGTGCATTATATTTATATAATATTGTAATCTAACTACCTATAATACATAATATACTTATAGTTATAACTTATAAATACCATTTTTTTGATTGTGATAAGTTATATTAGTACTTTTTAACGATAACATTAATTGGAATCAAATTTATTGTTATATCATACATTTACCTATTATTTATATTAAATAAATTGTTTGTATATGTGTACAATGTCATGTGAGATATATTCAGAAAAGTTGGTTTTTAAGACTGTCTGTTTTGATAACAACTAATTTAATTTAAAGTGTATTATTATAATAAAGAAAAATAATAACTATAGTAAAAATATATAATTTGCAAAACATTTAATACCTTATATCTATAAAATCACCTAACCTAACCTTAAGATACGTTTTCCTAATCCCAAGTTTATGAGCTTTTCATCATGTATTAAAATTAATGTAATACCTACGGTTAGCAGATAACATGAAACATTATTATGAGTCAAACTTGCGTTTAACAACAAAAAAAACACAAAACATGGAAATTATCACCCTTATTATTGATAAATTCGAATAGGTCACAAGGACTTCTTTTGTTCCATTTGAGGTGTAGAAACACCTCTAAAAGTTTGACACATTTATCGTGCAACACCCTGTATACGGCTTAACGAACTGTCCTTCTACATTATTGGCTTTATTTTTTTTTTTACACTTAAATTATTAAAATATTGTTAATCGTCGGCGACGAATGTCGACAATATTGACGGTTGCCATAAATGATATAAAATATATTATTTATTATGATAAATCCATAGAACTTATACGCATATATTATACTCATTAGTCATTACCTATACGGTCTATTGATAAATGTTATGTTCTTTTACAGAAATCTTTGTGATCTACAATGTGTCTATTCTGGTTTTCTGTTTCAGGAGTTGTTTGCATCACAATTCACAAATGTAAATACCATATAAACTAGTCTGCAAGTTTAAGAACTGTCATAACATCCGTATAGGTGGGTACCGTAGGAGGGGGATACCTTACTCCAGAGGTTAAACATTGCTCCAAAAAAAATATTTATTGATATCAGTCGTAGCAGTGTAGCACATTACGATTTTGAGATCAGAGATTGTAGTTTTTTTTATATTATTCTTATTAACATTACTAATTTTTTCAAACATTACGAACATCAATCTATTAGTTTGTCTCCAAGATGTATGTCATGAAAAAAATTGTTTTCAAAAACACATAATGGAAAAGTTATCCAAAATCTAGGGGATTGAAATTTAATTTAAAATGTATTAAAAAAAGACTTTTAATCAACTAAAAAAAAAAAAAAAATATATTATTCAATTATATTAGGTATATGGGTTCAAATAAGTTAAAACACAAGCACTAAACATTACACCAATAGTTATTATATGCACTAAAGTAAGGTAATTTTAATCATTGTGCAATGTAACCTGCAATAATGTATTTTAACTTTGCTCCAAACTTTTGGGAATAAGTAAGTAAGTCACTAGTATACGACATAGTCTATAAGTCATAGTGCATAGACATAGTGCATAAGTCTATACAAAAAATTCAACTAGAGTCAAATTCCTAAAAAAAAAATTGAAGGGGAGGGTTGGCGCCGCAGGCAAATGCATTTTAGAAAACCAAAAAAAAATTTTGAAAAAATATACAGTTGGAGAACACATTAAAGAGTTCAAAATAAAATGTCCAGAATGCAAAACCGAAAAAACAATATTGCCAATGATTAGCTCATTAAAGAATGATGATACAGAGGGCACCTGCTTGTTAACAATATGCAAGTCTATACAAAAAATTCAACTAGAGTCAAATTCCTAAAAAAAAAAATTGAAGGGGAGTGTTGGCGCCCGCAGGCAAATGCATTTTAGAAAACCAAAAAAAAATTTTGAAAAAAATATACAGTAGGAGAACACATTAAATAGTTCAAAATGAAATGTCCAGAATGCAAAACCGAAAAAACAATATTGCCAATGATTAGCTCATTAAAGAATGATGATACAGAGGGCACCTGCTTGTTAACATATTCAAGGCTATACAAAAAATTCAACTAGAGTCAATTCCTAAAAAAAAATTGAAGGGGAGTGTTGGCGCCCGCAGGCAAATGCATTTTAGAAAACCAAAAAAAAATTTTGAAAAAAATATACAGTAAGAGAAAACATTAAAGAGTTCAAAATAAAATGTCCAGAATCCAAAACCGAAAAAACAATATTGACAATGATTAGCTCATTAAAGAATGATGATACAGAGGGCACCTGCTTGTTAACAATATTCAAGTCTATACAAAAAATTCAACTAGAGTCAAATTCCTAAAAAAAAAATTGAAGGGGAGTGTTGGCGCCCGCAGGCAAATGCATTTTAGAAAACCAAAAAAAAATTTTGAAAAAAATATACAGTAGGAGAACACATTAAAGAGTTCAAAATGAAATGTCCAGAATGCAAAACCGAAAAAACAATATTGCCAATGATTAGCTCATTAAAGAATGATGATACAGAGGGCACCTGCTTGTTAACAATATTCAAGTCTATACAAAAAATTCAACTAGAGTCAAATTCCTAAAAAAAAATTGAAGGGGAGTGTTGGCCCGCAGGCAAATGCATTTTAGAAAACCAAAAAAAAATTTTGAAAAAAAATATACAGTTGGAGAACACATTAAAGAGTTCAAAATAAAAATGTCCAGAATGCAAAACCGAAAAAAACAATATTGCCAATGATTAGCTCATTAAAGAATGATGATACAGAGGGCACCTGCTTGTTAACAATATTCAAGGCTATACAAAAAATTCAACTAGAGTCAAATTCCTAAAAAAAAAATTGAAGGGGAGTGTTGGCGCCCGCAGGCAAATGCATTTTAGAAAACCAAAAAAAAATTTTGAAAAAAATATACAGTAAGAGAAAACATTAAAGAGTTCAAAATAAAATGTCCAGAATGCAAAACCGAAAAAACAATATTGCCAATGATTAGATCATTAAAGAATGATGATACAGAGGGCACCTGCTTGTTAACAATATTCAAGGCTATACAAAAAATTCAACTAGAGTCAAATTCCTAAAAAAAAAATTGAAGGGGAGTGTTGGCGCCCGCAGGCAAATGCATTTTAGAAAACCAAAAAAAAATTTTGAAAAAAATATACAGTAAGAGAAAACATTAAAGAGTTCAAAATAAAATGTCCAGAATCCAAAACCGAAAAAACAATATTGCCAATGATTAGCTCATTAAAGAATGATGATAAAGAGGGCACCTGCTTGTTAACAATATTCAAGTCTATACAAAAAATTCAACTAGAGTCAAATTCCTAAAAAAAAAATTGAAGGGGAGTGTTGGCGCCCGCAGGCAAATGCATTTTAGAAAACCAAAAAAAAATTTTGAAAAAAATATACAGTAAGAGAAAACATTAAAGAGTTCAAAATAAAATGTCCAGAATCCAAAACCGAAAAAACAATATTGCCAATGATTAGCTCCTTAAAGAATGATGATACAGAGGGCACCTGCTTGTTAACAATATTCAAGTCTATACAAAAAATTCAACTAGAGTCAAATTCCTCAAAAAAAAATTGAAGGGGAGTGTTGGCGCCCGCAGGCAAATGCATTTTAGAAAACCAATAAAAAATTTTGAAAAAAATATACAGTAGGAGAACACATTAAAGAGTTCAAAATGAAATGTCCAGAATGCAAAACCGAAAAAAACAATATTGCCAATGATTAGCTCATTAAAGAATGATGATACAGAGGGCACCTGCTTGTTAACAATATTCAAGTCTATACAAAAAATTCAACTAGAGTCAAATTCCTAAAAAAAAATTTGAAGGGGAGTGTTGGCGCCCGCAGGCAAATGCATTTTAGAAAACCAAAAAAAAATTTTGAAAAAAATATACAGTTGGAGAACACATTAAAGAGTTCAAAATAAAATGTCCAGAATGCAAAACCGAAAAAACAATATTGCCAATGATTAGCTCATTAAAGTATGATGATACAGAGGGCACCTGCTTGTTAACAATATTCAAGGCTATACAAAAAATTCAACTAGAGTCAAATTCCTAAAAAAAAAATTGAAGGGGAGTGTTGGCGCCCGCAGGCAAATGCATTTTAGAAAACCAAAAAAAAATTTTGAAAAAAATATACAGTAAGAGAAAACATTAAAGAGTTCAAAATAAAATGTCCAGAATCCAAAACCGAAAAAACAATATTGACAATGATTAGCTCATTAAAGAATGATGATACAGAGGGCACCTGCTTGTTAACAATATTCAAGTCTATTCAAAAATTCAACTAGAGTCAAATTCCTAAAAAAAAAATTGAAGGGGAGTGTTGGCGCCCGCAGGCAAATGCATTTTAGAAAACCAAAAAAAAATTTTGAAAAAAATATACAGTAGGAGAACACATTAAAGAGTTCAAATGAAATGTCCAGAATGCAAAACCGAAAAAAACAATATTGCCAATGATTAGCTCATTAAAGAATGATGATACAGAGGGCACCTGCTTGTTAACAATATTCAAGTCTATACAAAAAATTCAACTAGAGTCAAATTCCTAAAAAAAAAATTGAAGGGGAGTGTTGGCCCGCAGGCAAATGCATTTTAGAAAACCAAAAAAAATTTTGAAAAAAAATATACAGTTGGAGAACACATTAAAGAGTTCAAAATAAAATGTCCAGAATGCAAAACCGAAAAAAACAATATTGCCAATGATTAGCTCATTAAAGAATGATGATACAGAGGGCACCTGCTTGTTAACAATATTCAAGGCTATACAAAAAATTCAACTAGAGTCAAATTCCTAAAAAAAAAATTGAAGGGGAGTGTTGGCGCCCGCAGGCAAATGCATTTTAGAAAACCAAAAAAAATTTTGAAAAAAATATACAGTAAGAGAAAACATTAAAGAGTTCAAAATAAAA